GGCAGTGGAGGCACAGCCAGTGGGAGAGCGCCTCGGGGGGTCGGTACCCTGCAGCCAGCAGCCACCCCACACAGAGGGGGACGCCAGCAGCACGGCTAGTTTGTCCCTAACCACTGGCAATGACAAAATTGATTTTTGTGGTTTGAGAACAGTAGGACAGATTTCATCTCTGGTGGGTCTCCTGACACTTTGATACATGGCAGTGCTATCCCTGAATGGAGCTAAATACTCCAGGGTTACTTTCTGACTGGGTGAAGGGATGTATAAAATGAGAACGTATGAGAGAGTATTAAGAGAAAGGCACACTTTGATTTACTGATCCTGGCTCCCAGCTTTCTTGGTGGATTGATATGCTGTCTGCTGGATCTGGAACAACTTTTTCACTCCTGTACACAAAAATAAAAGGGCTCCCATGGACTCTTAAAAGTGACTCTTACAAGTTAGCATCTCACCACAGACACTCCGAGTCCTCTTTAAGCTGGAAGTTATATTCAAACCACGTTTGCTGTGTTCTTTTAGCAGCTGCAGACGGATCCCACTCAGCATCTTTTTTTCTTTCCCAAAGGGCAGCTTTGAAAAGGTTTGATGGAAGGAGGGGTTGTGTGTTGTCCTGGGGTCAGTTGGCCTCTCCTGCACACAGTGGATGAGTTGTTTTGGAGGTTTCAGTTGCTCATACTGAAACGTAAAGGGATCCAGCCTTTTTTTGTTTCTAAGGCAGTGCTGAGCTGCCTGTCCTCACAAATCACAGACTGGACATGCAGGAGTGACTCCTGGAAAAGGAGATATTTGAGGTTTTTCTCACTGATGATGTGTGGCCCAGTGCTAAAGGTGTCAGTTGTGACACTGCTGTTGCTATGAGGTGGAATATTTATCCCAGCACATTGCAGTGCAGATTATAAGAGAGATCCAGCAAAGCTGCCAGCAGAGAGTGGGAGAGAAGGGGTGGGAGAGGCACAAACTGGGGTTAACTGGGATGATACACTGGGCCTGCAGAGTCAAGTTGGGAGAGTTTCACATACCACGTGAGCTGCTTTTGCAGTGCTGTGCCTGCAGTCCCTGACCAGTGCCTGGTGTGCTGGACTGTGAGGGGGCAGCTGGGGGATGTTTAAGCATCTGTAGTTGGCTGAACACAACAGAGAAACACCCAGCAGTGATGCTGGTGGCAGAGGTGGTGTAGTAGCTCTGGGAATAAGCTGTTGGCATCAGGATCATCCTGTTGGTGAGTGAGTGGTGGGAGGGTAGTCACAGAGCTTGAACAGCTTTGTTTCAGCCTTGGCCAGTTTGTGGTGCTTGTGAAAACCATAGTGGTGATATCTTCTTGGTCCCAAAAGCTTTAGAAACTGAAAATCATCAGGGGCTGCCTAGGACCTAACACAGCTTGTGGCAGTGGGAGGCCCCTGCTGCATGGTCAGGGCTGGCATTGCCTGTGCTCTTAGAGGTATTGCTGGCTTTGTTCTGTGAGGAGAGCAGGGAAAGGAGCAGGAGGTACAAACCTGATGGTTATCACACGTGAAAGCTGCTAGCTGGTGTGCTTGAAAGCTCCGTGTTTGTGACTCTTTTCTGTTTAGTTGTTGGTTTCAGCCAAGGAGCAGCATTCAAAAAAAAACGTGCTGGGAGGGGAAGGAGATCAAGAGGGTTAGTGTCCAGCTTTCCTTCAAAACGACACATTTTGCATCTATGAAACAGTTGTGGCCTTCATTCACAAATGGAGTTAGTCTTTTCCCTAAAGCAGGTGCTGTAAAGGCAGGTGAGGGCATTAGAGGGAAGAGAAGATGAAGAGGGAGAGGAGACTGGGAAGAAAACAGTGGAATAAAGTGTGAAATGGATAGGGCAGGGCTGGATGGGAAGGGGACAGGGGAGGGTGACTCTTGGCTTCTGAAGCTGAGTGTACAGCACACTTAAGCACCCAACAGTAACAATGAGAATGCCATCCTGTAATGTTATTAAATACACAAGAACTGAAAGCACAGAAATTACCCAGCTGTAAGAGGCTCGTGATGAAGCCACTGCCTGGAATAATTAGCCCTCCCACCTGGTTAGACACACGGTCATTGTCTTCCCTGCCCTCTCCATCCCCTTCACTCCAAATAAAATTGCTCCCCATCCCCACTCCTGTTGGGGTCCATATCTCATAGCCTGGGGGAGCTGGAGCCTGTCTTTATTCCTTGCCTCCTTGCCATGGCCCTGCTATACCCCAGAAGAGCTGGAGTGCTGCTGCAGTTGTAACTGACAGGATCAAAGGCGCCTGGGGTGCACTAGCACTGCTGCTGGAGGACAGGCAGCGGGTAGAAAATAAACAGTTTGAGCAGCTCTGGGGACATTCAGCTGTGTTGCAGGCAGTGGGAAAGATTTTGCTGTTGTAAGCTGTGCACTCGGGTGAGGGTGGGGGCACTTTTGCTGCAGACACGTACAATAAATGCATTTTTGAGGGCTTTTGTCTGTTTGTCTCTTGGAATTGTTTTGATGCTGACACACGACTGTTTTACAAGTACAGCAAACCTAATCCGTTAATAGGTTTATATAGAAGAGTTGTCAGAATGTATCTGTAATGAACCACGGGCTGGGGGAGGGCGAGTCCAACAGCTCATCTGCAACAAAAATCTTAAAGCATCTTCTTGACATTCCTGTTACTGAGGTCAGGCTGTAATTTATCTGAAGATGGTGACAACTGAGCAATATCACAGTGGTAACATGCAGGAGATTGAGACCTCTGAACGCCTGGGCTGATTTCTGCTTGCACTGCGTCTGTCTGGCTGATGAAGATTTGCTGTTTGCTGTGCCCATGATCTCTGTGTCCTCTGTTTAAAAAAAGCAAAAAAGCAAGTGGTGAAAAGTTCCCTCCATTCTGTTATGGTAACTCAAAGGAAGAAACAGGATTGGGAGTTGAGCAAAACAACCCCACCAACTTCACATCAGTGGAGGAATCACAGAATGTTGGGGATTGGAAGGGACCTCGAAATATCATCCAGTCCAACCCCCCTGCCAGAGCAGGAACCTCAATGAGATCACACAGGAAGGCATCCAGGCGGGTCTTGAATGTCTCCAGAGAAGGAGACTCCACACCCTCCCTGGGCAGCCTGTCCCAGGGCTCTGTCACCCTCACTGTAAAGAAGTTTCTTCTCAAGTTTAAGCAGAACCTCCTGTGTTCCAGCTCACACCCATTGCCCCTTGTCCTACCATTGGGCATCACTGAGAAGAGCCTGGCTCCATCCTCCTGACATTCGCCCTTTACATATTTATAAACATTAATGAGGTCTCCCCTCAGTCTCCTCCAAGCTAAAGAGCCCCAGCTCCCTCAGCCTTTCCTCATCAGGGAGATGCTCCACTCCCTTCATCATCTCGGTGGCTCTGTGCTGGACTCTCAGACTCTCTCCAGCAGTTCCCTGTCCTTCTTGAACTGTGGGGCCCAGAACTGGACACAATATTCCAGATGTGACACAATATTCCAGATGTGAACTGGCAGAGGAAGTACCAGGGGAAGTTCTGAGGCACTTCCCACCATGGCAGTGCTCCTCCTGCCCTCCGGACAAATCCACCTGCCCTGTCAGCTAGGGTTCCTGCTGCCCATGAGGGTGCTTGTGCTGGGTGCATGGGAGGGGAGCCAAGCCTGTGTGAACATATCCTGCAAGAAAACAGATCCTGGTGTGCTGCACTCCTCCAAGCAGTGCATTATTTTCCCCTTTCTGTGGTGCTTCTTTGTAAAAGTAGAAAGCAATACAGCAGTGTCAGGTAAATATAAATTAATGTGTGTAAAGTTCAGTTCAGGTTTTTGGATAGAAGCGAACAAGTGTTTTACCTGCAAGAGCTGACCCTGTGATTGATGTGCAGCGATGTACAAAGGGGGAGTTTGTGTAGGCCTAGACAAACACTTGTTTTATATCAAAGCGCTCTGCAGGGAGGCTTGTTGGTTGCCACAAAAGAACTATTTTTAAAGAACAGATGTTGCAACAGTGTGCTGTTAACCCTTCCCCCAGTCAGCTGCAACTGTGTGTCCTTGGAGAAGGTAAGATCATTGGAACTGCATCTGCATAGATAGAGGAAAACTGTCAGCTCTGAAAGCCTTTGAGTACACAGCATCAGATCTACATTCAGGATTTATGTCTGCAGCTAGTCACCCCCTAAAACTAACCCTTGCACCATGTATTGATCATTTTGTACACCACTCCACCCCAGTCTTTTCTTCACTTTCTCTCTTTCTAAGGATCTCTGAGCTTGCAATTCTGCTTTTCTGATCAGAATCCTCTCATTAAACTTGCCAGATCATTGTTTAAGTTTCCCTCGTAGATCAGATCCTGCTACATTTAATTTTACTTACAATCTCATTTCTTATACCTCCTGCGTGGCAAGCACAGCGGCATAGAAACCAGCAGTAGTCACAGCCCTGCAGGAGTTCAGTTTTTCTTCTTGCCCTCCCTATTTCTGCTCCCTATAACATCCCCATTATGTACAAGAAAGAAAAGTCAGAGGTCAAGTTTAGACGGGATGTACATATATACAGTTTCCCTTGTGTTACTTCATATTACTCAACTGAAGCTGGCTTCAGCTGCAGAACTTAACACAGGAGAGAAATGAGTTAGTCAGCAAAAAAGGTTGTTGTCATATGTGTGTGTCATCAGGCACTTCTGCACACAGTACTTGCTTCTTCACTGTGTTAATCTTTCAGACTCTGCGGTCTGAATGTTTGTGGATGAAACATTAGATCAGTGTCCTCCCGATGTGCAGCCAGGCAGATGTTTAGAAAGCAGTCCTCCCTCCCTCCCTCCCTCCCTTTTTAGGAAAGAAGTGTTCTTTCCCAGCGTGGTGCTGTTTGACATTAACAGCTATAAATCAGTTTGAAGATCAAACCACATCTCTAAGTGGTTAGAGAAGAGCAGTTAATGGGACATGCAGTAGCTGTGGCAGAAATTCAGATTCAGGGTGAGAAACTAAGCGCTGCAAAGCTGTGTCCACCAGAAACAAAGATCAGTGGGAAATTGTCACTGGTGTCTCTTGTTCTACAGGTTGTAAAGCCCTGGAGGCAATGCTGAAAGTGTTAGTGGACGTTCAGGATGAGCTGCTTTATCAATACCCAGGCACGAGGCATCTGGTAGATGGGAAGCAATCAAAAACTGAGAGGTAAATACAAAACAAGACAAGACCTTTCTGAATTCTTTGATCTCCAACAAACAGGACAGTGCACAGTCTTCCTGACCATACTCATCCTCTGCTGTTCTCTCAACTGCTGCTGTATCTGGGTGAGAGACACTGTGGACAAATGATCATTTGAATTCCTTCTGGCAGTGTGGGAAGTCTGTTTTGTAATCTTTCTGATAATGGAGGAGGGCCTAAACCGTGGGTCTTTTGGCATAAGTATCACTATGGTGTGGAAAAAGCATGGGTGGTGGTGGAGGGACCGTTGAGAATTTAAACACGTTGCCTTGGAGAGGTGTAGGGTATTTAGTCTGTGTGTGTTTGTTCTAGTGATGATGAAATCCCTAGCAGTACTGATGAAGAGCAAGTGGATAAGGCTCAGGAGAAGAGGAGGAGCCTGCCCAAGCGAAAGCTAAAGATGGATGACTACCCAGAATTCATAGCCAAGCGGTATGCTGACTTCAGAACGTATCGGAACAACACCTTGCAGAAGTGGTATGAAAAGACAAAGCTGGCATCTGGCAAAATGGGGAAGGCAAGTCTTTGGTTATGTGTGCTGACATGCTTCTTGTTTAGCCAAGATTTGGGGAACAAATTGATTTGAAAATTTCGTATCAAGGATGTTCCAAATTAAGCCAAGAGTTACAGCAGGAATAATTAAATACACAGGTACACACTTTTTCCCAACCTTAAAAGAATTTGGAAAGACTCTTAGCCCTCAGTTTCAAAGGCGTAAGCTGCTCGCTTTTGTTTTGAACAAATGGGAAGGAAAAAAATTTCAGGGGAAAATGACTTCCCAATTTTTTTTTCCATCCTTTTGGATAGTATCGGTGTTCTCCCAACCAGACATCTCATCAGAGCCAGTCTGCAGCAGCAAGAAAGCTCTAGGAAAACGCCCCTATTGCTGAGCAACAAGCTGTTTGTGTTTTAGAACAAAACTAGGGGCTTCGGTGTCTCTCCTCCTCCATGAAGTGTACACTTTAATACAGTGGGTAATCATTTCACCCAAAGATCCAGGGTCTCCTAACATCTGTGCATTAGTATTAATCACTGAGAAGTTCATCTGAACCAGAACAGCAAAGGCATTTTATTAAGCCAGGCATCAGGTTGCCTGAGGTTGGGGAGGGAGAAACAAGTGAAAAATCCTAGCAAAAATCCATGCAAACCCCCTGCTCTTGGAATGCTGACTGCTTATTCACTGACATGGAAAGATAGAGGAACACTGCTGCCTTGAGGAACAGCTTTCTGCATTATCTGACATTAGTTAATGTTGTTGCAGGGTTTCGGTGCCTTTGAGCGTTCAATCTTGACTCAGATTGATCATATTATGATGGACAAAGAGAGATTGCTCCGGCGGACACAGACCAAGCGATCAGTGTACACGGTGTTGGGAAAGCAGGAACAGGAATCTCAGCCAGTCCCTGAATCTTTGCCTGAAAATTCGGTAAGGGTATTTTGTTTATATAACTCACTCTGTAGAAGCAGTGAAACTCTCTGCAAAAGAATTAGCCTGAGCCTTTAGCAGGTAATATTCTTGTTTGTGAGAGATTTATGGAGGAGACGTCTGAGTGTTGATTCCTGTAAGGTAGTGGCTAAGAAAAAGACGTAAACATTTCAGTTCCAGTTTTATGGTGTTTGCATTATCTCCCGTTCCAGTTCTTGACAGGGGAAAACAAAGGTTTGGTCTGTGATTGTGCCCCTCCTGTGCTGTAGGAACTGACGCTCACTAAATCTGCTTCTTGAGGTTAAAGACTTTGTTTTTACTCTGGAGTTTAGAATCTCTGACCCAGAAAGTCACTTCTAAAATCATACTGCATATAACCTACAGAATGTGTTAGTAGCAAGTCTGTTATTAATTTAGTATTTAAGAATGAATAAATATTCAATTCTGAGAGATGATGTAGAATTACTGCACTTGCAAGGTATATTTTTGCCGTTACATTAAAAATATCTGTAGTATTTTGCCAGAAAGACTTTGCACAGTCCTATTTATTTCCCAGTAAAGGTATCATAAATCTATTTTGGCACTGGCAGTGTTTCTGCCTTGCCTTTAAATGTATTCCTAGTCCTTAAAAAGCTTGTTATGTTGGGAGCTTTTCTCCATTCCTTCATATCTTCAAGTGTGTTTACAAGCTGATGCATGTGATGTCATCAGAGTTAGACAGAAATACGCACATACAAGCTTTCAGTATTTCCTTTGTGCTTCTAGGAAGTCCTGCCTCAGTCAGATTCCAACAGGCACCTGAAGGACATAGATGAGGAGATATTTGATGATGATGACTTTTACCACCAGGTAGGTGATGGTAAATCTGTGTTGGAATTATGGCTCCAGGTGGTTTTTAAATACTTACAGAACTAATGTGATCGATTCTGTGCTCTAAATTTCTCTTAACCAGTGAAACTGGGTTACCTGTTTTAACAGCTGATGCCTCTTTAGATACCTCAAAGGACTTTAGATACCACAAAGGGCTGTGTGAGCTTAAACTGGCACTGTGGGTGTAAACCGACTGCCATTACTGGCACTGCGGAACTTGGATCAGGATAAGGTCTGTGCCTGTAGCTCTGACTGGTGACATTGCTAGACAAGAGAAAAATGACTGAATTCTCTAAAGGTGACTGTTCTCTGGGAGTAGAGTCCCATTATGAAAAATAATTCTAGTAGATCCTCAAAAGCACCCAAGTTACTCTGATCTCAACCTAAATCCTCTCATCTACCTACAGAATGAAAAAGCTGTGGGGCTTCTCCAGCACTTTTATTGGAGTTGTGCCAGCTTGGATTTAGGCCAGTTATTATTTTTATTTGCAAAATTCCTAGAAACAAGGAATCTGCACCCAGTGCATGGAGGCTGCAGCTTAGGGAAACCTTGTGTTTGTAATTTAGTTAATAAATGACAGTGCCAGCTTTATGAAATACTCAAATTGCCATGTACTGAGGAGTATGATTCACTGTAAGTCTGTCTCTAGTGCACGAAAAACCAGTTTTGCTCTGATGATCCCCAGAGAGCTTTAAATTCAGGACTAAATAAATATCATTATATCATTAGAAAGGCAGAAATTTCTGATCTGAATAGTTATTAGAGTGGCTAGTAAAGTGTTACAGCAGTGGAAGAGTGCTGTTGCCATGTGACTGTGCTCTGATAGCTGATTTAACCAGAAACATTTGAATACTTTCAAACTTTGGGGTTTCATAGCCAGGAATGTATTCCAAGCTAGCTCCTCTCCAGGCTCTGTGTTTATTGCAAGAGCATCTCTGCTGGTATTGCTGTGAATTGAGCAGCATCTGCTGGGCAGGTGAAGATGCCCGGTTCATCTGTGTAGGCTCTAAAATGGAGACTGGAGAGCGCGTGTCTTGGTGGCTGCAGTGGCTGAAGAGGCCAAATCTGTAACGCAGTGAGACAGTGCTGAGGTGGAATTTGAGGTCCAGGAGAACAAGAAGCTCAGCTTTGAGGGCCAAGTGGACCCTAAGAACACAGAACAAGTGAAGTCAGCATAACCAAAGAGTGAAGTAGTCGAGGAGAAATAGCTGTGACTGGCAATCTGTGGAGCTGTGCAGAGAAGGTGCTTATTGGCCGTGAAATGTTAGAATTTTTGAAAGAAAAATAGCAAAAGAAGAATGGCCCGTCCTTCCTCTAATAACTTTAACTTCCATAAATCGTGATTTCAGAAATATGACTAGTCACAGCTTAGCTTTTCCCCTCACTGGTTAATTGGGGTGCTAGGGTTAATCTAAATTAAAACTTAAACTAATAGAGGTCATTGAGGGAAGAGAATCACCTGAGTAAAACAAATGGGTCTGCCAGGCACAACTGTATCTTGGCCATTTCCCAAGAGGGAAGTGGCAGCAAATTGGAGTTGTTTCAGCGCTCGGCAGAGGTGAAGGATGGGTGACACCGGTTTAATGTACGCACCTCCGGAAACGCTCCAGATTGCATTCCTTGCTGTACCAACTGCTGCCTCCTGCGCACAGCGAATAGGAGCAGGACCAGCCAACAACATCTGGCAGCACAGCAAGGAATGGGTGCAACTTTCGAAACCCCATAGACTCTAAATATGGTGCTTAGCCTGGCGGAGGCTTTAATCACTTACCACTCTTTGGCAGCGGGTACGACGGCTTATCCCAGCCTCGTACATCACGCACAGACATCTGCTGAGCCGCGAGGCAGCGGCACATTCATTTTCCTTTCTTGCTTGTTTTTTTTTTTCCCTTCCTTCCTTCCTTCCTTCCCTCTCTCTCTCTCCCTGCCTCCCTCCCTTCCTCCCTTCTCCTCTCCTCCCATCCCCAATATGCTTCTTGGGAGAGATGATCTGTAAAGATTACTGCTTCATTGTGTGCGGGTAATTGTGGGGATGCCAGCCCCTTGCCAGACACCGCGCAGCACCTGTTCCGCTGACCTGGTTAATGTCTTCTGTTGAGTGGGATTTGGTAGAGATTGGAGCCGAAGCCAATTCAGTGATAAGGCTAAAGAAAATGGCTGTATGTTTTCTGTCACCTCCCAATTAAATTGGTTTCATAAAGTGCTTTCCTTTATTTGTCAGGGTGGTAAGCTGAAGCTGAACATTGCATTCAGGAAGGGCAGAGTGTGTTACAATAGAGTGCTGACAATACGGTGAATGCGTGTTCTTTCAGATGGGTCATAACTGTGCAGTGCCTTTGTGTGCGTGTGTGATTGCGTGTGTGGATGTACATATATAAATGAAATGTAGAAAGGGAGCTGGTTCTTTAGGGGTGATCGGTTATTGGAGCTGAGGTTGCTCAGAAACTCTGACCTCTGTGCGTAATACTTCTCGCAAAGTACACGTGCACATTTCAATGGGTGATTTTTTTTCCTTGTATTTAAATTTGGATTCAGGCTGGTTTTAGTATCACTTTCATTTTTCTAAATAATTTTTTATTAATGATTAGTTTATTTTGATTGCTGCTTATGGTTTATTAAGGGTAAACATTCTGATAAAGAAGGATGTTGGAAACCAACTTCCTGTATGTTTCAGTGTGAAATTAAACAAGTAAAAATGAATGAAATCTGATGAATGTGCACAAGCTGATGATAACAAAATAAGTAGCTATACTGTTTAATTAGAGATTATAATACAGAACTCTTTAATGAATCTGTTTTTCCTGTGGAAAAACAATTTTCTTGTCCAGCTCTTGGTGTTCAGTGGAATTCACCATGTGGGGCTGGTGGAATTTTATGACAATTCAGAATTTAACTGTCTTCTGTCTGTTCACCCCACTTTGCCTTTTCTCATATTCTTCACTTGTTTTATAAGCAGTTACAATTTTTATTGAGGTGACCTGTGTTGAATAGTAATGTAAAGCTGAGCTGAATAATGCAAGTGAAATATATTTAGGTAGCACTGTGTGGAAATAGGTAAACTGTTTCAGAAGGATCCTAGTTACTGACAGCAGAGAGAGGCTAGACCCCATTTCCTTTTCTTCTAAACTCCCATTCATACATGGTTTTAAGGAAAGAAAAATGCCTTTTATTTTTAGAAGTCATATTTACGTAGAATTCATTACAGCTGATACTGCAGCATTAAGACTTAAAATTCCAGCCTGCTACCAGAGTGCTGCTGGTCTGACATGCTACAGTGGAGATTTTATTATTAGGTTGAAATACTCCTCTAGTAAAGGAGAGAGTGGAAATTGGTTTATTTCCAACAGGAATTAGGTTAGTGTTCATATGCTAAACATTCCACTGGTAGCAGCTCTTCCCAGAACAAATGTTCATCATTGATGGCAGCAGGTATGCCTAAGGAGAATTAGGAATATACATAATCCCTTTTTTTCTCTGCTCTCCTGCTCCCTCCTCCCCCTGATTTGGGTTGTGTTGTATGTCATCACTTTTTATAACAACCTGCAATCATCAGTTTTGTCTGTGATCACCACAACTTCCAGAAGCTGAGCAGAGCCAAAGTGGATGGGGAACATTCGATGAAACGCTGAAGTCTTCAGAGAGAGATGGCAGCATCTTGGCAGGAGGCTGGAGAGGACTCTGATCCCTCAGCTATGGCATTGTGTTGGAAGGAACTGTTACTGCCTGGGATTTACTTCCTTCATTAGTGAGGAAGAGGCTTGCTCCCTTCCTTATCTATACCTTAATTACTTAGGAAAGGAGCTGATCCTGTAGAAAACATTGTTTAATTGCAAGACTTGGAACTTACTTTTTTGTTGTCCCTCGTGGAGTGGCACTGTGTGTGCCTGCCCACTCTTGCACACTCTGTGTGACAGACGATGTTTTTACAAGTGAGGAGAGATCTCACTGACTTCCTTTTTCCTAGCTTAGTGTTCAAAATGCCCATGTTAATGAGTGACCACAAAATGAACTTCCAAGTCTGAATCTCTTGTTAAGATCCTTGTATTTCAATTTGTTTCTCTTCTGGGTTGTACTTGTGTCTAGATCACATTTTATGGCTTTTTAGAGAACTTCACCTGATGGGGTAGATTTCTCCTCGTGTCCTAAAGCAGTTCTGGGCACATACTGGGGTTTTTCTCTCCCAGGTATTTGATAATGCCATAAACAAGTAATTACTAATCCAGTGAACTATTAAAAGTCGATAATGGTGAAGAATAGAGAGAAGACTGGCTTTCTGACAAGCTGGTTTACCTTAATTAAACTGGTGAGTGATTAATATGGACAGCTGATCTTGTGGCTTTAATTAGATGCATTTAGAGTTTTGTGTGAATAAGAGATGTCTCGAACCATCCCACAGGTTAATGGCAATACAATACTCTTATCACAGGCATGTATCTTTCAAATGACTAGGTAGATGGTTAATAACACGTTTTAAAGCTTGATTTGAAATTTCTCTTAATGGGTTATTAGAAAAATATGTAAGTCAATGCCTATTTTGTACAAAACTGAATTTTAATAAAATGTTTTTTAAGAAGAGTCTACCCAGTAATTTCATCCTGCAGTTCAAGTTTTTACGTTATAAATAGATTGCAGAAAATTAATTTTTTAAAAAGTGTTTCAAAGGGATTTAAAAATAATATTTGAACTGTAGTCTAGATTTTCTCTGGTGTTGCTAGAAATCCAAATGGTGTTACGCTGCGACTTGCTTGGAAGAGTCAAAGAAATAACTTGCTTCTACATCCAGAATGCAGTGTAAAATCTGTGCTGAATGAATCCTGGACTAGAAGCAACCTTTCCATCATTTATTCTGTTTTGAATAATTGTGTGGTGTATAAATATGGAAAAGAAGGAAAAAAGAATCGGATTTACCATGTCTCTCCAAAGACTAAAGGAAAAAAATACTAGAATTTAGAAAATATTAGAAAGTATTGAAATTTTG